CCTTGTTAAGGAGGAAAGACTGTTCCCTTTATATCTCATATCCTGTTCAGCAAGTGCCCACTGCAGCATTGTAGTAAAATAACAGTATGAGCCAAGAAGGTTGGAAGCCTTTGTTCACTGAGTCAGGTCTGTCATTGCTTTTGATTTATTGTGTTTCAGCCACATAGCACAACAGAGATCAACTTCACGCAGCAACAGGAGTTTCCAGCTACACTGCAAAATACGAATCAGCTATTTACATAATCACTTAGTTTCCACCGTATTAATTTTTGTTTTAAAGACTCTTTTGTCATTCAGCAATACTTACAGTTTAAATTCGACAAGTTTTTGGTACAGCTATGATTGTTGTGGGTTTTTAAAATGTCACAATGTCCTCTTTTCTGGGAAATAACGCTCACCTACTTTCAGCACTTGTAACCACAGCTGACCCAGAAGAAGCTGATTCAGTCAATCACTGACATGCAAACTGTTCCTGTTTGTGTTTGAAAGTAACATTTGTGTTAAAGAAGAATTAAAAATCTGAGAAAACCGCTGAAGGCTGATTCACAGAAATGTGTGTCTTTGTCCAGTATAAGACAGTCAGTCAAATCAGAGGTAAACTCCAGACAGAGATTAAATGTCAAATGCAAAACAAACAAAAAAAACCCCGACAGCAGACCCCTGGACAACAACTGATGTAAACAACAAACCACAAACGGCTCTCTTAACACTTGTCAATGCTTTGCCACTTCCTCTTCACACTCAGCTACAGTTACAACACAAGAATCAAGTATTTGTCACCCGTTGTGATGCACAGTGAAGCTTTGCATTTTTAAAGCATTCTGAGACGGCTTTAATTCTCTTTACTCAATTTTAATTTCTTTGTGGTTGTAGGAAAACTGCGTGATGGACGCTGGTTACATTCTAAAGGTAACACAACAACAAGCATTTGTATTTACAGTCTGGTTCAGAGGCTACATGGCTTTCTAAGCTCCGTTTGGATTGTGACTCCAGTTTCTGCAGGTCTTTGGTGGGCAGATGCCCTCAGATGCGGCAGATCATTCCACCGAACGCTTGTGGTAAAAACTGGTCTCTGGGGCACCTTGTGGCTTAAAGCTTCTTCGCCACTTTTACCAGTTCGTCTGGCTATACCGCTATTTCCATGACGACATCGTTGCTGCCTCGCCTCTTTCTGACGGTCTGAGCGGCTGTGAAGAGAAGGCGATAAACAACATCAGAGGCCAAGTTTCTGTTCCTGTTTTTCTGGTCGATCGTGAATCTTGAGCGACCTGTTAACCTGTTTCAGTGTCTCATTATTAACCTCAAAGGCCACCAAGATATGTTGCAATGTGGAATCAACATTTTTCAAGTGTCCACAGGTGTTACTGATATCGGAAAATTAAGGCTTCCTGCAGTGAAAAGCTGCCATATGCATGTGCAGACAACCGTCATAGGTCTGAACTTTGATAATCATGAGACATTTTTGTGTTTTACTTCAAATCAGAACTTCACGTCTTATTTGAAATAAAACCTTAGTTTGTCTTACTGAACATACTATGTGTGTAAACAGTCAGTGAAATCATCAGTTATGCAGATGACACCTGATTGTTTTTAGATGACTTTCCGTCTAAAATGATCCATTTTGATGAATACAAATCAGCTCCAGAGGGTTTGAAATTCATTACACCTATCCATTTTTTAATGGAGCTTTTGTTTTATTTGACCAAACGTGGAGGCTTTAAAGAGAAGAACTGTGAAGTCAGAATGCACGTATTGGACTGGAGTTGGAACAGGGTTTGGCATTTGGGCAAAACTCAGATTACATCCGTTCAAACATGGTTTTAAATGTGTCCTTATCTGTAATGGTTAATATAACGAAGATTGGACACAAAATCTGACCTTTTTCCTGCTTTAAAGATTGGGATTGTTTTCTACCGTGTTCGTAAATCTGAATGAATTAAACTTTTGTGTTGACTGACCAACTGGATTGTTTTTAACTTGCTAATAGAAGCAAAACTGCGGAACCCTACCTCTCCTCCTATCTCTGTATATGAGTCCGAGGATGATGGTGGACAGCAGGTACGGCGTTCCCACCACCAGGTGGCATATAAGTCTGAAGACAGAAATCGAACAGGAGGCTGCAGGTGGAGGTGAAGGTGGAGGCACAAGAGAGGCTGCGAAGAGGAAGAAACTCTTCAACATAAAAGTCTAAGACGCTAAACAAAGACAACGTCACACTTAAATATTCGTGTTTGATGTTAGTGTTTCAGGATGTGAGAATTTAAATGTTTCCCAATAGTTTTGGGTGAATTTTGTTTCGTTTATGTTTTACACTTCACTCAAAACACAAAAACAGGTCCAGATATAAGACTTTGGCAGTTGTGGAGCATTCTGAGAAATAAACACAGTTCTATCCTCACGTTTCTTATGCAAATGCAATGTGTGAGTAATTGAGGCATCAGAAATAATAAATAAATCCTTTTCCTTAAAACTACTTGCAAAAACAAGCATTTGGATTTGGAGAAACTGCATTATTTACACATATGTTTAACATCGGTGGGGGGTAATATGAGGCGAGGTTGATGTGTTTGTTGGATTTTAATTGATGCAGAAGCCAAACAGATATTTATCATTGACAATATTAAAGCAGCAACATTCACTTCACTTTGATTTCATGAAAAAACTAAAGTGACAGAAAATGACAGAAAAAAACAGAAATGTTGGGTTTTGTTTTTAAATATCTGAAGATTAAGAGTTCCAATGTGCTTTGAGAGTCTCTGAGAATGAAAATGTGCAGATTAACTCATACATTTAACAGTTTTCGATGAGAATTTTAGCAGCTGCATCACTTTCTAATCTGATAAGTTTTTCATGGTCCATTGCAGTGAGCTGTTCCCCCTGACTGAAGTAGGCGGCAAGATGTCGGTCCGAATGAAGGGTCACATGATGCGGCTCACAGAGTCTGGGGAAGAAAATCTGGTAACTACTGATACTCGTGATCTCTGATGGGGTTTTAGGTTTTGTTGTGGCAGCTAACACCAAGAAAATCAAATACCCCCCCTTTGCCTTTCTTCTTCTTCCCCACATCAAAGAAAAACTGGGCAAAAACTGAACTCTGTAGCGGTCGGGTGGCTGCAGTACTTGACGTCTCTGGCTGAATACATCAGGCTTTTTTCAAGTTGTTTTTCAAAAAAATTGTTTGTTTATCCCCAGTTATAGAGCTGATAGGTATCTGTAGACTGTTTCTCTCACCGTCAACAGCCAACCAGCTGCCTGTCGACTCCCCACCTCCGGCGGTGCTGCACATGTAGAGTCCTTCATCGGCTTTGGAGGCCCTGTGAATGGTCATCTCTCCTGTGGAGCTGCTCCCGATGTGGCGGCCATCTTTGTAGAAATCAAACTCTTGTTGGGAGGCGTTCGTCTCGGTTTTGCAGCGCAGGTTCACGGCAGCTCCCTCGGACACCGGCAGGGCAGGACTCTCCAGGATCACGGCGCGATCTGTGGAAAAGATTCTGGTTTCACCTGAGCTTCCTGCACTTTGGACTACTTTGTAATTGCAGCATAACATTGTTTGTGCGCAGTACCAGTGATGGTGATGTTGACGCTGTTGCTCTGCTCTCCTCTGACAGACTCGCACCAGTACAGTCCGCTGTCCGACGGGTAGGTGTTTCCGATGAAGCAGGTAGAGCCCGAGGAGGCCACGCCCCATCCAGAGGAGCAGGGTCTGACGCCGCCGTCCAGCGTTTTCCTCTTCACCTTCCAGCCGGTGGAGTTGGACTGATCATCGCAGCTCAGGGAGATGGAGTCGTACCTGAAGAACTGAGACCTGTCGGGAATGACCCGAAGACATGCTGCCGGGAAGAGAGGCGAGGCGAGGGATGGTTGAGAGGAGACAGCAAAGAACAGGTGATAAAGGAGACATAGAAGCAAACAGAAGTGACGGACAGTACCACAAAAACAAGGAATAAATGGATGGAAAGGACAAAGAAGCAAACACAAGTGACAAAAATGAAAACAGGAGGAGCGTAGAGAAAGTCAGAAAAGAAAGGTTTGAAAGAACAGTGGAGGTGAAGAGCAAAAAATTCAGCGAGAGGAGAGCAAAAGATGAAATCAGAGGTAAACAGAGCAGCGCAGATGCCAGGAAACGGTGAAAAACATGTCAGAGAAGCAGGGTGGGCATGAAAACAAGCACCGCCGTCAAACGTGGTGAGAGTTCAAGAATAAACGGAAATCGGAAGAAGTAAATATAAAACATCGAGGAGTTAAAAAGTAGCTCAGGATGCAAGAATCATCAGACAGAGAAGAAAATAAAGTGAATCAAAGAGTTTAAACTCAAAAAGACAATAAACTGTCGATCAACAGCAAGCAGAGAGACTGAGAAGTTTGAGAAAGCGAATTTATTTTCTAAAACGTCAGCGTTTGTACTCACCCAGCATCAGACAGAGCGGTGTTACCTGCATCCTGTCCCTCTGACGACTGACGACCTGACTGCCTGACGTCTGTACTTCCCCTCTGAGAGCTAGGTGTCATCGTAGCTGCTTGGTGGAGCAAAACAAACAAAAAAAAGTGTTTGTTTCCTCTAGAGAACGATGAAACTGGCGCCGAACGAACCGTTCAATTAAAGCAGCAGAAATAACCAACCTCCCAAACAGAGGACCTGCATTCATTTTATTGTTTTGTCCAATTGGGGGAATCGCAAAAAGCTCTAAATGCTTAAACAACCTTTTTTTTGACATTTCATTGACGCCATGTCTTTGCAGGGTCCCTCCTGTTTTACCCATACATTACCCATCTTGCATGTCCTTTAAATGGCACATGGAAAGCAAATAAAACTTTCGAAATGTGCTAGAATAGGTGAAATATTTATACAAAACTTCATGATGTCATGTTAGCCCCTCACATCCATCTGACATCATGTTTCTGGTCCTGTATTGAATCTTTTAGCTCTACTTTTGGTCTCCTTAGAAAAATAATTGGCTTGTCTCAGACACTAATTAGCTCTTAACTCTTGAATAACTCTTTTTGGTGCTTTACATTTTAAAATATTTATATATAAGAGCTACGAGAATGAATCAAAACAGCGCAAGCGTTGGTTAAAAAGTTCTAAAACTGTGGTTATAAAAAAAAAAAAAATCTAACACTTACATCTGATGCGAGTTCAACCACCATCATCGTTGAGGCGGTCTTCCTGTGCGGGATGCTCTGCTCCCAGTGATCCTGCAACGCTTCCTGGAAGTCCTGCTGGGAGGCAACATCAGTGACAGTAGAAGACTCTCATGAACTGTGTCAAAATACCAACCGCTCCAACTGAATTGCATTTTGGGAAAGAAGTCGTGACAGGGAGACGAAACTGGTGCGTACGATGGTGTTGTTGTGGTCTGACCTGACGCTGCTCGTCCACTGCCAGTCGGCTGTTTCTTCTCTTGACGGTAGCTGCAGACTCACCTCAGAGCGGCATGTTTCCTGTCTGCTGCAGTTTGACGTCCACATCGAAATCGGCGATGCTCACCCACCGGACGTCACAAAAGCATGCGTACCCCAGGTCCTGCTGTTGATAGCGTGGTGCTTTTCATTGACCCTTGCACATACGAAGCTTGTAAAAGCTAAAACGACGCTTAAAGCTTCTGTAAGGTTGAGTGTTGAGGGACTTCTTTGAAGACAGTGAAAGACGCCTTTATAGGACAAAGACAGATCTTTATTTGATCCCATTGTGGAGTGTAGTGGACGTACAAATCTTAAAAAAATACAAATATCTCCATCTCTATTTACACAATCACACATTTCATTAAAAATCAAGACTTTATCACAAGTACACGAGCCCACAAGTCCAACAATGATGTACGCTAAAGTGCATTTTGTCTTCCTGAATTCGTAGTGATGATCTGCTCAGCCTTTAGATGCACGGTGCATAAAGCAGCAGTAATACACATAGTAGAGGCAGCATTCAGTAGGAAAAGGAATTTAACCCAAAATCATCTCAATAAAAGGCAAAAAAAATCTAAAGTGCAAAATAGGAGTGGGTTGGTTTTTCTCGGAAATGTGAGCCCTGAATTCGAGAGAAGCCACTCTTAATTTAATATAAAGACGCATCCTGACAATTAAGCCTCCTTTAAATGCTCCCTGCATAAGGAGGTAAATTAGCACCATAAATTATAGTTTGGTTCCACTTCTTTGACAAAATCACCGCATTTCAGAAGAAGTAAAGCTGTGTTTGGTTAGCATAGCTTAGCATAAAGACTGGACATGAAGGGAAAGAGCTAATAGTTAATGCCATCAACAAGGCTGCAAGGCGTACACTATTCAGGAGAAATGAGCGGACCAAAGAAACAGTCGGAGCTTTCGTACGAGCGTATTTAAACCCAAACCACGATCTTTTCCTAAACCCAATCTGGTGCCTAAACTCAACCAAGACCACCAAAAACTAAAGGAAAGAGCAACAGGACCACACAGGACTTTGTACCAGGATCTCCTGAGTGAAAGTCCTGCGAAACAGGACTGTGCTGTGACGCTTTTAGATGTAAGACTGTGTTGTCCAGATGGAACACAAACAAATGATTTGGGTTTAAATTGGAAACCTTAGATTGAGGTTTTATGAACTGTTGGTGACTTCCTGCTTGTTGTAGTCACATCAAATCACCTGGTTATTCATTATACTTGAGCTTTGTTAAAAAAATAATCTTTTTTTTTTAGTAAATTGACTCGTTTCCTTCTGGTAAATTCGTCAGCTGGCTGTAGCGGCGGTTGAAAGGCTGATGTAAAACTGGAAGCACTGAGGAATGTCGGCGCTGCAGCCGGATGCCATTCTGACCCGGTTCTTGGAAGGGCAAACTCCCCGACCGCTGGACTTGCTTTCGCTTTTTCTCTGCAGCGGCGGCTGAAGAAGACGTGGATGACACTGAGTAAGGAATAACAGCTGGACTGCTGTAGATGCGGTGCTTTCTTTGTGACGGGTGGTCAGGTGTCGGGTTGCTGTCTGGCCTGGAAGCATTTGGACCCATCAGTTTGGGGAAATTACCAAGTTGCGGGGAGGTAGTGTTTGGTGAGCTGCTGGTCTCGGAGAGTTGGTTGTGGGGGTCGAGCTGGCAGAAACCGCAACGCTGCCGAGATTCTAAGATGTTCTGCAGCCGGCGGATGGTTTCGTTCTTCATACGAAGCTGCGACTCGAGGTCAAAGACTTTACCTTTCAGCTTCTGGACGGCGCCAGGGTCATCGGTTCTGCTTCTCTGAACCAGCAGAGGGTGGACTTCAACAACGCTGCTCATCGTGCTTTCATCTGATTCCTGCCTCTTCATCTGCTGCTTTTTCTTCGCTGTGTGAGGGCAGAAAAGATGTCGCATTAACACCAAGTTCTACGGGTTATAAAAACATTTTAGTTGTCAGATTAATTGCAGCTTTATGAGAAAGTAAAGACAGTTACAACCCAAAGTGTTCTTTGCTTGTAGACTTCCTGCCTAAACGTTGACTCCACAACGTAACTGTGCGTCAAAGGCACTTAAATAAACAGGAACTGACATTTTTCTTTATGAAAAAACACGTGATGGCTGCTCAGATAAAACACAGACGATGCAAAGACAGTTGGTGAAATACTGTAACAGACAAGCTGTCTTTAAATCAGAGGACAGAAGGAATAATTAAACTATTCAATCCACTTTTCTGACACGTTTCAGGGACGTTTTTTTTCTAAGCGGCTCCTCTCTGAGTGGAGCTTTGCTGCCATCTAGTGGTGAGTTCAGTTCATTACAGAATGTTAAAGTCTTCAAGAACAATTTGGCAAAACAACCTCTTATTGTGGTTGTTTCTGGCGATTTGATTTGCAATGTCGCATTTTAAAGTCAAACGGGGTCAGATTGTGTTGAAGTCAATTAGAAAACGAACCGACTTCTCACTTGATTAATTGATTTATGAGTTTATGGTCTCAACTGCTCCAGTAAAGGCTCCTTTACTGGGTAAATTAGGGGAAAATAGATCTATGTTCACATATATATATGACTTACCAGGTTTGCCGTATCTCTTCCACCACAGCACAGCTAATACAGTTGCGACTAAGAGAAATAAAATTGTCCCTCCAAAAGCGATGCCAATGGTTTCACTGCTGGACCTCGAGCACTTGGCTGAAATGACAAACAGCGCGTTGAGCGGCTTAAAACCGTCCACCCCACAACGAGTGCATCTGCATCATGCTGCAAGTTCTTCATTGTCTCTAAATGTAGAAAAAGTTTTCAGAGAGTTCAGTGAAATGAGATGCATGCTAAAGAAATGGCTTCATCATGTCATCGCAGGTTTCAAATTACACCGTTTATTCCAGCAAGAAACTGTAAAAGGAGACAGAGTGGTCAGATTTTGATCTTTCCAACAGTCCTTGAACTTCTCATCTGTGAGACGTCGATCAGTCGGGAAACATCGTATTTCGTCAAATCACTTGATTCTATTTGTTTCACGAGATTCTGTAAAAAATTTAAATTCTGAGCTTCTGAACGTAATCGAAGAGTGAATAGACGGAAGACGGAATGGAAGACTGGATTAACGAATATAAAATGTGTTCATATAAGTCCAGAGAGCTGTTTTTATTTCAGAGTAACATAAACAAGCACCATTTCATGTCTTCATTTTGAGGATTGTAAATTTCTGAGACTTTTAATACTCTGCATGAACCTGAATCCACACTGACTTTTGCACTATTCTCTTTTGTTTGCACTATTTCTTATATTTATATGTACATTTGTTTCTGTCTCGTATATGTGTATCTCTGTGTTTAATGCTGCTATCAACAACGTGAATTTCTCCACTGTGAGATAAATAAAGGCATATCTTATCTTATGACCCAAATGTTGCACAAATTAATGATAATAATTAACTATATACAGAATAAACAGGACGTGTGTCTTGATTTCTAGAAAGATGTCCGACAGAAATTGGAGGAGCTGTTTAGCTCTTATATCGTGCTGCAAAATAGAACCGCATTGCTGTTTGATGGTAAACGTTATCAGAACCTTTTTGGAATAAGACAGAAGCTGCATTTTCTCAAAGGTTTGCGAGAATCAATAACTGTGGCGTGAACATTTTAGTCAAATAGTTAAAATTCATCACTCAACACAATTTATTTTGACCGGTCAGAGGAAACCTGTTGGTCAATTAATGAAAAAAACAAATTAAAAAAATGAATAATTTCTTGTTGTTCACTGCTCCGACCACCAGGAGGCGATGTTCAGACGTAAGTGAACACTTTGTCTGAGGAAGTGATGAGATCCAGGAGCTCCACAGTTTCTTGTTTTTATGTTTGTTTTGCCTTCGGTGGAATATTTTCCAGTTTAAATGGATCCAGAGCAAAGATCCACGAGCAGTGAGTGAAAAGAAAAGACAAACTGACTCCGTGTGCACATGTGGATCCTGAGCGTGGACTCAGGTGTGGTGCTGCTCACCTGGGATGAGGATCTCGATGTGCTTGGTGTGGTTGAACTCCGGCTGGTGAACTCTGCAGGTGACTCTGCCGTGAAACACACCAGTCACAGTTTCAACTGGGAAGTTTCATGACGGATTAAAAAAACTAAACCTGCACCACTTATGACGGCTGTTTGAAAAGCAAACTGTGCAACATGTTTGTTCAGTGAGTCAACAGGATCACAGCACTGCAGCCTGAATTAAATGATTTATCTCTGTGATAATACGGGTCACTGAAGGCACTATTTTACTTCAAAAACAAATAATTCTGTGTTCGTTTTCCAGTAAAACAAGAAAAAATCGGAGCTATGGAACTCTTCAGAGGCTCTATTTCAGATGGATTAGTGGGAATGTGAAGGTTCTAATGGACACATGGTGAACTTAGTAGAAGAAGAGGGACTAAAGAATGAATAACTGAACATCTAGTTTCATATATTTTTACAGTTAAGCCCAAAATTGTCCATCCAACAGTTTTAAGTTGCAGTGAATTTTTATTTTACTGGCTAGAAATGCGATAAACAAGTGACTTAAGACGGTAGGATGTAGTTTCATAGATGTGACTGACGGATTTTAATGGTTTGTGTGTTTGGTTTTTAACAGTTTTAGTTGAAAATGACACATTCAAACTGATTGATTTGCCAAGAAACTGTTGGTTATTTACTGTAAACTGCACTGATGCTGTAGTTCTCCAGTCAGTCACTGGACAACCAGGAAGACAAAAAACACAACCAACAAAAACACACGAAACAAAGAAACCCAAAAAAGACCAGAAAGAAAACACAAAGCAACAAGAAAGATGCAAAGAAAACTAGAAAAGACACAAAACAAATGGAAAGAGACATGAAACGACCACAAAGACACAAAACAAACAGGAGAGACACACAAATCTGAAAGGACAACTTGGAAATCTTATTAGCAGTTCTACAACCGTCTGACTCATGTTGGTGAAAATCTAAGTTTGCAGGTGATGACATAAAACCAGATCTGATTGATTCTCTGTCCTCAGTGTTTCTGATCTCACCTGTTGGTGGCGCTCTGCACCGTCACTCTCTGCCTCGTGGTGTCACATCCGCTCTCATGTCGCTCCCGTTTGGGCTCTTCGGCCGGGATTTCTTTTCCTTCGTGGTCCAGAAACTTGATCTCGGGCTGCGGCAGCCAGCAGCCGGCTTCACACTGCAGCGTCACGCCGCCGCTTTCTGCTGAAACCACCGAGAGCTTCGGCTCCGAAACGGAAACTGAAAGAACACGAATCAGACAACAAACTTTTCTTTAAATCTCCATCAGTTCAGGGAGGGACGCTGGGCTGGAAGCAACCAGAGAGACAAACCAATCACAGAGAGGCACGAAAAGCACAAAAAGAGGCAAAACAACCACAAAGGGACTCGAAACAAACAGATGTAGACACTAAACGAACAAAAACAGCTAAAAAACAAACAGAAGAAGACACACAATTCAACTACAAACACACAAGCAAAGGAATCGGACACAAAACAAGCTCAGGTACACCTGAAACAAGGACATAAGGTCAGAAAGACACACAAAAATACCAGAAAGAGGTAGAAATCGACAAAAAAGAGTCACGAAAAGTCACACAAAAAACACAAAAAGATGTAAAACAAAAACAAACAGACCCAAAAGAGGCACAAAATGATCAGAAAGAGACAAAATGATCAGAAAGAGACGTAAAAAAGACGTAAAACAAATAGAATTAGACCCAGAATGACCAAAAATTGAACGAAACAACCAGAAAGAGGCCCGGAAATGACAAGAAAGAGACAAAAAAGACCGAAAAGAGATAGAAAAAGACACAAAACAACCACAAAACACAAAAAATGACCAGAACGAGATTAAAAAAACAAACAAACGGACCGAAAACAGACACAAGTTGACCAGAAAAAGTTACGAAACAAACACAAAGAGACCGAAAACAGACACAAAATGACCAGAAAGAGACAGAATTGAAACACAAATGGACCCAGCAACACACAAAACAACCAGAAATACGCTCAAAAGACACAAAACAAACACAAATAGACCTGGAGAGACACCAAAACAACACAAAACAACCGCAAAAGACGCACAATGACCAGAACAAGATGTAAAAAAAATAAAAACACAACAACACAAAGAGACACAAAACTTCGACCCAAAAGACACAGAAAACAAACACAAAGAGACCTAAAATGGACACAAAATGCCAAGAAAGAGACAGAAACTGGTAAAAATTAGACCCGAACGAGACCAAATGACCACAAAGATACACAAATGAAACACAAACAGACCCACAGAGACATGAACAAACACAGAGCACACTCAGCAAACAGAGGTTTGTCGGCTCGTTGACTGTTTGAGCTCCGTGATTATCTGAACAAGCTGCTGCTCGTAAAGCCGGCTGTAAAAACGAGTTGTGTAATCTGCAAACACACACACACGACACACACACGACACACACACTCTGTTGTTAGATAACTGAGAATGAGACGATGTGATTGAACCAACGGTCGACGCGACGCAACGTCTTTTCTTCTGATTTCCACTTTAAGCTTCGGCTACGCTGTAAAAAACTCAAACTGTATTTTACTTATATTTCTTGTTTTGTTGAATTCTCGATAATATCTCATAAAATCTCAGAGCAAAAGTACTAATTTACACGTTAATTGTTAAAAAGCTGGACCAAAACTGTAAATAATCGACATCAGAAATCTGTGTTTTTACAGTAATTTCACCGTCGTCAAGATATTTGTTATCATTTGAAAGAAAATGTGTGACTGTTCAGGATTGATAAAAGGTTCATTAACACATTTTCCATGTCCTGTAAATGTGTAGGTAACAAGTAAGCTCACAGAAAAAGTATTAAATTGAAGACAAAACTGTAAATATTGCAAAATCTGTGTTCGTGCTTTTAAAAATTACACGTTTACTGTATAAAAATATTATTTTACTGAAGTTTTCCACAATTTTTCTTTGCGATTTTGTTGTTTTTTAATATTGTAGTATTTTACTGTTTTCACCATATTGTTTTTTTTACCTGCTGCCAGACGTTTGCTGTTTTGTTTACAGGTTTGTTTCTACAAAGCAGCTTTCATTTCTCATGTTAAATAGATTCTGCTTTAGAATTTACCGACTGCTGAATTGATCAAGTCTCAAATGTTTATCAATATATATATCGTTTCAAATGATCAACATTAATAATTTTCAAATTGCAACGATATTTAGGATGTTTTTTTTTCTTCATAAATAAGAGAAATAATTTGCAAATTGTTCTTTTTTTTCCCCCTAAATTCCTTTAATTTAAGGCGAAGTTATGATAATCTGTCAAACTGTTCCTGGTGGTCAGAACCAGCTTTTCTCCAAAGTTACCTCCCGAATAACGACTTGGTTTAACTGTTGTAACTTCTCGGCTCGTCCAGCTGCTCGTCTTCTAACAGAAAAACAAATTAAGAAAAACTCAAGCTAAGAATAATGTCGTCCTTCTGCTGCCTTCTTCTAGGATTTCATGACCAGTAGTAGAACTCTTGGGTCAGTCCGACCACCCAGATGATCTTAGATCTTGGCCTCCGCAGTGGTTTCTCCTGATCTCTGCAGCCTCTTCATGCGAGAACTGCTCACACGTCTTTGATTTCGGTAGATCTCGACACCCTGACAGCATCTCGTCTTTTCATTCAGATGTCTTGGAGTGTCTTGTCCTGTCCATACCTACCGACAACGAGCTCCACCGCCGTCACCTCCCAGGGCGCGTCCTTCCACAGCCTCATGCACTGGTACTTCCCCGCGTCCGACAGCCGCACGTCCGAGATCCTCAACGAGACGTTTCCGTTTTTCAGCTCCTTGGCGATGAGGCTCGTCCTGTACTCGAAGGCCGGGTTTTTCATCTCGTGGGTCTCGCAGCCGTCGCGGTACAAGAAGATGACGTTCGGCTTCAGGCCTTCCTTGGACCACTCCACCGTCGGAAAGTCGCCGCCGGCAGCGACCTTGAAGCTGCAGGGCAGGACCGCATCTCCGCCCGCGAAGGCCAGGACCGCCTCTGGTTGACCATGTACGACGAAGTCACCTTGGAAATCGAAGAACAAGAAAATCCAGCAGCGTTAAAATGAGGTCAGCAGGTGTTATGCAATGTGAGGTGTTGAAAGTATTATGTCTTGGCAAACTCAACCTCCTTCCTCCTTAAACACTCTCTCCTCCTGCAGGCTTCCTGCCCTGAACTGGCAGGACTCTGAGAATGCAGCTGCCTGTTCGTGTGATTCGTTCCCACCGTGCATGCGTGGGCAGGTCAACGACTTCCGACTGTAAATGGCAGTAAAGAAAGAGGCCACGGTGACTCAGCCACGTCTGTCGGTTTAACTTCTCTCTTCCAAATAGGAGGCGATCAGTCGAATAAAGACACCGATACCGACGAGAACACCCTTTACCCCGTGGACACAGGTGACTCATTTTGGAATCTGAAAATAATCTCAACCAACTGGAACCAAAGGAACAAAAACGTGGCCGACAGCCAAGCGAGCGGTTGCCTCTGATTCACTACTGCAGTGTATAAAGTCCACTTTATATTCCTGCTCCAAGCTTTAGAAATATATTCAGAAAACACTGAACTGTGTTTAAAAAAAAACTTAATCTGAAGCTGCTTTGGAAAATTTGATATCAAAGGAATGTCCTTTTCCAGCTGATTAAACAGCAGCAGTTTATAAAAGCTCGTGTAATCTGGCTGAAGGTCTTGGATCAGAAAACTAAAGCATTAAACTGAGCTGTAAAATCCTCCTGAGCTGCCCGTCAGTGAGCAGCTTTATTAAAATGAGTCACGATTGTTGACCCACAAGTTTGTTGTTTTCCCTTAAAACACAAATGTATTTAAAGCGGTTCTGTTTTTAATCTACTTAATCAGGTTTGATTTACTGTAATCAAAGTCATAATGACTCACTTATCGGTGTCGGTTCTGTTTGCCTTCCTTCTTTTTACGAGCTGTTCAAAGTTCAGGAAGTCACAGGTTCAGCCTCCATTTGCAGTCACATGCAGACACTTTCCTGCCCATTTAACTCCATTTATACCCACATTCTTACAAATATATTGATTTGTAGCACATTTCAGATGAAGCTCTGCAAAGAAATGCTTCTCCAGGTCAGACAAACGGAGACTTGAAGGTCTTTTTCATACGTACCGATGTTAGACAGCAGACTGACGAGCAGGAAACGACGACAATACATCACCAAAGGACGGCAGGTGATTTTTAGTTTTTTTTTTCCTGCTATAAATGAAACAGACGAAAGCTTTCTGTAAATATTCCACCTGTCAGCCCTTTAACAAACAGCCGGCATGGCAGCCGAAGCACACTGACGCTCTTGAACTCTTGAACTGGGCTTGGCTTCAAGTGGTGCGTTCAGGAGCGCTGCAGTTGTCAGCATGAAGAAAACGATACAAGTCACTGCTTCACACCTTCTACGTGATCTAATAAACCGCCGATAAATCCTGAATGACTGGATGTAATCCTTCATGTAGGAATGTAGAATCCACCAGTTGTAGAGTATGAAAATGAAAACCGATCATGTTATAGATGAGTCTAAAAAGTCCTTTCGGATCAGAACTGAAACCCGTCCAGTCGCCCTCGTTTCAGTGCTTTGATGAACCATAACCTGGACGGATAAGAATCTTTACAGATGTCATCCGGAAACTATTCTCCATTTTCCCATCACTCATGAACAAGATCCCGGGATACTGTTCCCGCTCTTAGTCTGGTCCCTCCCCCAGAACCAGTGAGCCTTGGGAGACCCTACCAGGGGCCGATGCCCCAGACAACATGGCTGCTGGGATCACAGGGACACTCAGAGCCCTCCACCGCGTTGAGGTGGAGATTCATCAGGGGGTGGAAAGGAAAGGACAGGAGAGTAGGAATGGACAGAGTGTGAGATTAGCAGACGAAGGCTAATGTGAATGTTGTCGGGCCGATGACAACATGCTTTTTTTTTTTTTCTTTTTTGGTTAATTGAAAGGTCGATAAGCAACATTTAGAACCGGGCTGATAAGTTGGTTGATGCCAGGTCCAATGTTGACATACTTTTCTTTTTGTTTTTTTGGTTAATTGATGGGTCGATAAGCAACATGTTGAACCAGCTGATGATCCCTGAGGTAGAAGGACAGGACAGCAGGGAGGTAGAAGGGGTGAGGGCAGTGGGAGGGTAGAGGACAGGAACGAGGTAACAGAGAGAGGATGAGGCTGAGAGCCTCCAGAGGAGAAGACGAAGGAGGAGGAAGAAGTGGGGAAGCAGAGGGAGCTGCTGTTGTCCAGCTACACTGAACAAGCAGCAGCTTCCTCCATCTTCCTGTCGCGCTTCTTCTTTGGCTTGAGCCCGACCCAGCAGCTCTTCTTCTTCTTCTTCTCCACCTTCTTTTGGACTTTCTGCAGCAGGTCTTTGTTGCTGTCTTCATGCTCTTGCTGCTTTAAGCATTTCTTGCTTCTCCTGCTCTTTTCTGAGCTGCTCTACGGTGCTGTGCTCAGTTTTCCAGGCGGCTTCTATCTTCTGGAGTTCCTCATTTGTTTCCACCAGCTTCTCCTCAGCGCTGAGAGCTCCTCGTTGACATCGCTGACTCTACGGAGTTCGATGTCTTTGACGGAGAGCTGCTCCTTTAAGGACTCAACGCTGGTCTGAAGCTCTGAATTTTTCAGCAGCTCGTCCTCCAGACTCTTGATTCGGATGTTGCTCTGGTGAGTCTGGTCAGTGAAGCAGGCCTTTTCTTCAAGGAGCTCATTCATGTATGTCTCCATACAGCAGACGTGCTCCTTCAGAGGACTGTTCTCCTGCATGACATGAATCTGCTCCTCCAGTTCTTTTGCCTTTTGTTCCACTTTGTTCTTGTCTTACCTACGGTTTGGTCATCATGACATGCAGCGCAATGTAACGCTGAAGACAACAGATAAAGAAATCTACAAAATATTGGCACAATGAGTTCAGTTGTGGGGTTGACTGCTTTTATGAAAGCAAAGAACTTCAACTCATGGAAATGTTTTTTTTAAAGCCCTGAAGCAACAATAAATGGCACAAACGTTTCTTAATTGCCATTAGATTAACAGAAACAATTTTAAAAAGTCCGCATCACGTGTACAGGTTTGGATGTGAATGACGACACACTGTATGGAAACCCAAAACTGCCATAATTTGCATCTGAAGCCCCAGAATTGCCACTTTTTATGAGGCTCTAATGAAGAAGCTGCTTTTTCCGCCATCAAAAGCAAAAAATGCATGAAGATGCCACTTTAAGTGTCCACCCGGTACAGTTATTTTAGACGATGATGGCGTATTAAGATTGAATTTTGTAATAATCCGAGGTCCAAGTGCACCTTATTTACATGATGTTTAGCAAATTCTGGTATATTTAAATGATAAAAAAAAACAAAATGAAATAGTTACAATGTGCAAGAATTTGCAAATTATTAATGTGCAGCTTTACAGAGCATGAACTGGCCATAACAATAACAGATACGTCAGTGACTGAAGCCTGGAACTGTGGAGATGCTATCTATGCAAAACAGGAAAGACTGTAAACACGAGCACAACACGCTGCACGTTTTCTGCCTTTGATGCTGCAGAAAGTGGCACTTGAAGTGAAAAGCACACAATCAGGGGCAAATGATGGCACGACTGGCCTTCCGTACGGTGGAAACAAGAGCTTTCACTTTAATTCTTTGAGATTGTTGCGTGTTTACTTTCTGGAACCGACGCGGCACTTTCTTTTGTACGAGGTGGTGCAACATGGGTATGTTAACGTCGACAAACTATCGTAGACTCCGTAAAGGATAAAGTTATTAAAATGCAAAATAAATTCAAACGGTGGCAATCAAGGCTCTGAAATCGGTCACGAAAAATCTAACTCAGAACTCGTCTTTTTGACCTTGAAGATGTGGTCACATGCTTCCGAGAGCAACAACCGGCGTGACTCAGATGTGAAAGTTAAATAGCTGCCAAGATCTGACCACAGCTCAGAAGCAGCAGCATGAAGCGGAGTGAACATCACGGCCTTTCTAGGTTGGTACACCTTAAAATGTTTTTACTTTGAGACACGAAGAAATATTGTGTCGAGCATCATGTTCTGGTAAATTCTTGGTTATGATTCTTTCCAAAAACTTTTTTTTTTTTTCCCTGTCATAAATGGTACAGATCATAGATTAAAGCAGTGCTAAATACATGGATGTAACTGTAAGTACATATAAAGAGGCATAGCAGTGAAAAGGGATGAGTTCAAATGTCCAGAGAGTTTTAATTTAAAGTGAAGAACGATGACGCAGTGAACAATTGTTGTTTTGTTAAATCCCCTCCAACTATGTGGTCATCGTACATAAGTACTCAGAGTATTTTCCTCATTGTCAGCTTACATTATTGTCTGTAAACTATTTTATATCAGTGCAACGCATGTTGTGAATTCTTTGTATGATAAGTTTTATTTTAGAGGCACGGCGTTGAAAACAAAAGAAGCACGTGATTACGTGTTTGATTTCCTGTTTTTCTTCGATCTCACTTCTGTTTTTTTGGTTTCCCGTCGTTCAGCTAAAACGGAACCTGTTTGTCATTTTATAATTAAACACCACAGCAGATTTCTTCACCTCAAATCACCGCCATGCATTTGCCTCGTTTCGATATAACGAGCAGCTCAAACACTCGTTTTCTTTCTATTTGTTTTCAGAACTCCAGGATGCGTCTGCAGAGATGTCGATCAGCCCTCAGCATTGTGCTTTTGCAGCATGTGATTGACTGCTTCTTCCTGTTGACGTCACACAGAGGTACTCAACACGTCCTCTCGTAGTAAACAGGAAGACATTGTTGTGAATCACGAACAATGCTGGCATGTGCAAGGAACACAAGCCAGCTTCATCCACATCAGATGAACGATTCTAAACTGTTAGTTGGAATATTCTATGTCTCATTTTAAGATCCTTATTGTGGCCTTGGGGCTGCAGGCTGGCGCACTTGGTTAGCACTGTTGCCTCACAGCAAGAAGGTCGCCGGTCCGTGTCCCGGTGGGGGCAGCGTGGGTTCTCTCTGGGTTCTCTCTGGGTTCTCCAGCTTCGAGTAGTAGGCGTGTAGTAGAAGTAAATTTATCCACAAAGAACCCTGCCAATACTTTCTCTTTCTTGATCAGTGTCCTCCTCAGATGTGCCTCTTTTGATTGGTCCATCCCAGACGGTCGTGGCTTTCGTTGGCGATGACGTCACGCTGCCGTGTCGCCTGGAACCTGCCACCGACGCCTCTGCCATGAGGCTGGAGTGGGCGAGGCCCGACCTGAGCCCCGGGTTCGTGCACGTTTGGGCAGACCGCCGAGAGCATGTGCTTGACAAACAGCCGTCCTACAGAGGAAGGACGTCTCTGCTCACCGACCGGCTGCATCTCGGAGACATTTCACTGAAGCTCGTCAACGTGACGCTTTCTGACGAGGGACCGTACAGATGCCTTGTTCCAGAACTGGGTCGAAAGGCTTTTGTTAAACTTGCTGTTTGTAAGTAGAGACACAAAACATTATCTTTTTTGTATTTAATGCATGTATTTGTTCGTTTTATGTCTGCTGCTACACTCGGGCGACTTTTTGTTCTTGCTGCAGGTAAGTTATATCTTCCCTCTTTGATTTTTATAGGTGTTGTCTCCACGCCAGTTATCCGGGTAATGTCCAGAACCAGCAGTTCAGTGGTGCTGCAGTGTGAGTCTGCAGGCTGGTATCCAGAGCCTGAGCTGTTGTGGCTGGACGGTGAGGGAAAGCTCCTCTCTGCTGGACCTCCAGAGACAGTCAGAGGTCCTGATGACCTCTATACTGTCAGCAGCAGAGTGACTGTGGAGAAGAGACACAGCAACACCTTCACCTGCAGAGTCCAGCAGAACAACATCAACCAGACCAGGGAGGCGCACATCAGAGTAGCAGGTAGAAAGAAATCCAGCGTATGTTTGTGAGAATGCCGAGCTGTTCTTTGATTATTAATTTCACTTGATGCGTTCAGTCCTGTCCAGGTATGTGAAAGGTGTCCTGGCTCTGGGGTTACTTGGCGTCGTACTGGGGCTTGCATCCACAATACATGGATGCATGCGTGAGCATGTAAGGTATGCAAGATTTTCAAGATACTATCAATATTTAATTCCCTTATTTAATGTTCCTGCAAGCATGTTCCTGGACATCAGATGTTGTGGTCTGATGCCATCATTCAAACCAGACACACCCTGAAAACCAATCCTGAAGCCAGAACAAAGATTGGATGATCTAAACAACAGCTCTTGTTTCGTTGGTAGCAGCAAAGACCAAGAAAATGACACAACTTGTTCTGCTGTTCACCAGGCACAAGAAAATACAGTCAGAGCATTCAAATAAAGAAAAGATGGATGTGTGACGACTGCGAGAAACAGCGGTGACGACAAAACAACCTGAGATGGAAAACGAACGCGAAGCTGGAGCAGGAGGAAGCGACGCCCGACCACAGAATGTAAAAGTCAAACCAATCAGTGAAAACGACGTCAAATCACTGGCAGCTGTTATGGAAGGTGTTTGATTTTGGGTTGCCAGATTATAGAGAAGTCTTTCGAACAAATTGAACCACTTTAAAAATTAATTAACGCTAATAAGGCCTGTATGAACGACGGGGTGCTAATCACATGATGCCTCCTGGTCAACATCGTGTGTTTTATAATGTGATAGAAACTCGTTCACACAAACCACAAATAAACGGTACATGTACTGTGTTCACATTGTAAATATGTTAACTAGTTATATAAACTATATCTATTGCAACATTCTTTGTGCTACCAAGTCCTCTCATTTTTGTATTTATATAAATTCTTGTTTTATATAACACTTGTTCTTGTTTAATGTTATTGATCTGTGTTAAACTGTATGTTTGTGTCTGTGCTTTCCTATGAAATTGACTGACAGCATGTGCAATAAACGGAGCATTACTTTAAGCTTATTCAAGCATGCGTCCTCCTCTTTTCCTCACAGTCATGTTTTTCACACAGATTTTTGTTTTATCTTTGTCATTTTTCAAACACGATATGTGATCTTGGACTGAGAACTTGTCACACAAATGAAAATGTACATCCCCTTGTTAAGACCGTGTCACAGAAGGCTGCTTCTCGGTGCTTTCGTGGATTTACTAAAGGTCATCTGGAGAAAAATCTAGTTGATCAAAAATACACAGAAATGCTAATATTTAGTTCAATGTTCCTTATTTATTATTACCTCAACCAGACACTTCTGGTTCCGTCCACCAGCTTCTGGTCCATCTCTGACTCCTCTGGACAGAATCGCTGCAGTTCAACTAAACTTGTCGTCTTTCTGACTCAGACCTGTTCCTTCATCAGTCCACAGGTTCTGGATGGTTTCATTCAGGACTTTGGGGAGACCAGTCTAGAACCTTCATTCCAGCCTGATGGAACCATTTCTTCACCACTTTGATGTGTGTTTGGGCTCATTGTCTGGTTGGAACATCCAACTGTGTCCAAGATCAACCTTCTGCTGATGGTTTGAGGTTTTCCTGAAGAACGTGGAGGTGATCCTTCTTCTTCATTGGTCCATTGACTTTGTGTGAAGCTCCAGGTCCACTGGCAGCAGAACAGAACCAGAGCATGATGCTGCCACCTCCATGCTTGATGGTAGGTTTGGTGTTCTTGGGGTTAAAGGCCTCACCTTCTGACCAGTCGTCTCTCAGCAGCAGCTGATAGTTTGGGTTTTCTTCCTGATGGTGGCAGCAACACAACTGGACCATGAACTTTATATTTACTAACAGTTGTTTGTACAGATGATTTTGGCATTTGAAGCGTCTTTGAAATGGCTCCAAGTGACTTCCCTGACTTGAGTCTGAGTCTAATGAGAGGAGTCAGCAGCTGTCGTCATTTAAAATCCCTCACAGGAAGTCAAGAGGCCGTACCGCTGACAGAAGCAGCTGGATGTACAGTTTTAAACCAGCAGATTTTCACATTTCCAGAAGATCTTTCAATAAATCTATTAACCAAAATGCACGACTGTCTTTTGTGACACAGATTAATGTGCTTCAATGATTCGCGAACACAAAATTCTGAGTTACACAAATCATTGGAAACTCGACACTGACACGATACACACAGTCCTCACAAGTGTTCGTAAACTTTTGTTCACGACTCTATCCGGCGACTCAGAACCTAATGAGGACGATCTTAAAGTTTAAACCAGTCGGTAGATTGGAGGAAACACAAACATGCAGTTTAGAAACAAGTCATATCTTCCTGACAGATCTTTCTGAACTCAGCTGGTATTTCCTCCCGTTAAACCCAAGCTGTGTCTGGAGGAGGAGGATGTCATGCAGCATTAGCAGAGCTGGACTGTTGGTTGTAAAAGTGACAACGTGATGAGCTGTTTGTTTCCTGTGGGGAAGTCAAGCTTCACTTTACTTTCACTCGAAGAGGCGGAAATGCAGAGACTTTGTGTTTCCTCATGTGAAGGGGGAAGAAGATACGAACAGCGCTTCATTTTGTTGGTAGGAGCTGCCTTTTAAAGTAATATTCATTTGTTAAATGTCAGTATCTCACAATCTTGAAAACGTTAAAGCTATGGGGATTTTACTTGTTTGTGTTGCTGTCGGGGGGAATTTGGGAAATTGGAAAGCTAGTGCGTCAGATTTTTGTAAATCCACGATTGTAATAGTTTTTTGATTCATAAAGTGTGAGAGATGAGAGTCAAAAGCCACAGTTCTTCTTAATTCTGGAGTTCAGTTGAAAAAAACTGTTGAAAGACATTTGTGAGACACGAGTGCAGGCCGTTCATGATGCTGCTTTACCTGTTATAAAACTCTCAAGTGCAACTTTACCAAATCTGAAATGCAGAACAACGAACGCTGCGTCCATTTTAGTCGCCGTGGAATCCGGTGGTGTCGTCAGTAAATGTAAATGTCAGTAAATCCCTGACCAGATCAGGGTGGAAGGAGTTTAAAGCTGAAGCAGGCAGCAGCAGAAAGAGTTTAATTGTTTAGTGAATGAACGTGAACTTCACAGTGACGTCCTGAGGTTTCAGTGGACTGACTGGAAAAAAATTAAGTTTGGCTCGTTTTCCTTATTTCTTATAAAGTGTGTACACGGTGCAGATGAGAGGAAGCTCAAGAGGAACCGTTTTCATGCTGTGGTTTAGTCGGTGGAACACAGGAAATCCCATAACGGCAACAGCAGCAACCACATTATGCAGAAAGTGTGTTCACCTCTACGTGAACCCCTTCTCGTTTCACACTTTGCAAAGCCTTCGTGATATTTGTGTTTTTCCTTTGAGAAATAATTAGACAAAAGCATTTTGGGTTTTTAAGACTCGCTCTTTTCATTTTCAGAAGTCGAGAAGGCTGCATCCAGCGATGTTTTTCACTACATCCGTGGTTTTGCTCGTCCTTCTTGTACCATTTTGCAGCGGCAACTTCCACACGAGAAGAATATCTTCAGAAAGTTTGTATTGTACATGACTATAGCTTTTTCATAGCACCTTATAGACAAGAAAAACAAACAGAAAAAAAACACTCTACCAACTCTTGGTGGTAGATAATCGTACAGAAACCTCTTCTTCCCTGTTTTTATGCAACTTTGCAGCTTTTTACATTTATTTCTCACTTTTAGAATTTCAGGATCTATTGTGATGACACGGATGAGAGACATACAACTCTTTCTGGCTTGTTTTTTTGTTTTTGTTTTTCAGCAGCGCTGTTAAAGTTGGTTTGTTCACGTCAACCAATCGTCGCCCTCGTTGGGGATGATGTCATTCTACCATGTCGCCTTGATCCGGTCGTCAGTGCTGATTCCATGACGGTGGTGTGGACCAGACCTGGTTTGGACCCAAAGTACATCCACGTTCACCAAGATGGACAACTGTTGAACAGGAGTCAAAATCTGTCTTATTATTTCCGCACAAGAGTTTTTGTGGATGAGCTGACGTATGGAAATGTCTCCGTGAGCATCTTCAAAGCCAGAGTTTCTGATGAAGGCCAGTACTGGTGTTCCATTCCCTCCATACAGAAGGAAGCTTCCGTCCAGCTCATTGTTGGTGAGTCAGAAGATCAGACTTCTGTTGGATGCAAGGTTTGATCTAAACCCAGAGTTTGAAAAAACTTGTCTTCGATCCTCAGGTTCAGTCTCGGCACCGGTCGTAGAGGTCACTTCGAGTAACAGAGGAAAGATGGTGCTGCAGTGTGAGTCTGCAGGCTGGTATCCAGA